CCCCAAACCCCAACCACCAAACCCAACCCCCCAAGCCCTAAACCTCAAACCCCCAAACCCTCAACCCTCAACCCTCAAACCTCAAACCTCAACCCCAACCCCCGAATCTTAGACCCTGGACCCTAGACCCTAAACCCTAGACCCAAGACCCTAGACCCTAGACCCTAGACCCTAGGCCCTAGGCCCTTGACACTAGACCATAGACCCTAGAACCTTCACCCTAGACCCTCAACTCTAAATTCTATGCCAGATCTTCGACAGGTGGATATTTTATCCTCCCAACCCCACCGGCCTTCTCTTCGGGAATGAGAGAGAAGGGCCAGATCTAACTGGCGCTGTGAGAGTGAGCGCTTGGAATCAGTAGAGGCTATCCCTCAAGTGGCCACTAGGCTTATACACCATACCGTAGGGTCCTAGGACCTGCCTACGATCTCTTTGCGGTCAGTTTTGACCGCCTCGCCACTTAAGGGATAGGAGCACCTCGAGTTGTTAAGAACCTGCACCCTACAGTAGGCCTAGCGAGATTGATAATTTATTGCCAAACAAACAGCGTCAGCGCCGCACATGCCTTCCGCATTGTGCTACATACTGTACCCCGTGTCGGCTGCTCTTACGAAATTTTCCCGGATGGATTCTATCTCCACCTCCTACATGTACCACCTGCACGCTGCAGTAGGCCTACATCTAGGACCCCCCTAGGGTGGTCCTAGGGGGGAAGCGTGTTCTTAATGTCGAGGTACCCCTGTAAGCACTCGATGCGAGGTTCTTACATTACATTCCCCGACCGTACCTGTACGTACAGAAAATCTCCCTCTCCCTCTCTCCCCTCGCACCCCTCTCCTCGAGAGTTTATTACGGATCGACACCAAACTACACAGGCAGTTCGTCGCTGCGCATAAGAAACCGCCTCCCCCTAGGACCCTACAGTAGGCCTATGCCTAGGGCCCTATACTGGTCCTAGGGAGGGGGCGGGTGTTTCTTATGAACGAGGTACTCCTGTACATTCAACACGGACGAACCCCGGCGTCAGATCTTGCCGCCGCTCAACTTTCAAGAACAGAGTTTACTTTTCTCTCCCTCTCGCCCCCCGCACCCCTTCTACGAAGGCAGGTCCTCGCTGCGCCTCACCATACGAAACACCACCGGGCGCGCCCCACTCACCCACTCCGCCCCACTTGAGCCATTGAAGCCATTGGAGCCATCCACATCATTGGAGCCATTCCCACCCTCCCCATCTTCGCCAGCGGCACCTTTTCCCTCGTCTGTATCAGGGGTGACTCCATGTCCGGAGTCGTGTCCTGGTCCCGACCCGTGTCGTGTCCTACTCCCGCCCGAAGCGTCGCGTGACTCGGACGTGTTGGAGGACACGACATCTATCTCGAAGGCCCTGCGCCAAAAGTTGACAGTTTAGTACCAGAATCGTCAACTTTGTGCTGTGTTTCCTTCTTTTCGTGGGTCTATCGCGAAGGCCCTGCGCGGCGAGAGACAGAAATCAACTTTTCAGAAAGAGATTAACTTTGCTGAAAGCGAATGATACCAGCTGACCGGGACTACAGGGGTACCTCGCTCATGAGAAACCGCCCCCTCCTAGGACCCTACAGTAGGACCATGCCTAGGGCCCTGTGGTGGCCCTAGGGGGGGGAGCGGATTCTTATGAACAAGATACCTTTGTACAGAAACCATCTTTCCCATAACCTG